AGCCTCTGTTTGGCAAGATGGTTTTCAGGTTTTTTTGGCTATTTTAGTCACAAAAAAACAAAATAGACTATTTTAGCCATAACAAACAAAACATCACATCTAACCTATAATAATTACATTATTCTCTCACAAAAAAAGTCAAAAAAGCCAAAAAGCCAAAAAGCCCTTCCCAAACCAAGCTTTTTAGCCCAGGCTAAAATAGCCAAAAAAGCCAAAAAGCCAAAAAGCCAACCTACTTCCCAAACCAAGCCTAGTTTTTTCCACTAATTTATTATTCCTCCAAACTTTTTTATGGATTACCTTTAATGAGGCCCTCCAATAAATTAATAACCCTATGCTATTACTTAATAATAACCTTTCTCAAAAGAATTTGAGATTAAAGGTTAGTGCCCAAAACATTCTCTTATAAATGAAGTGGTGTATTATTATTATTATTATGACTATCATTACTCAAAGGGGTAACCATGGACGGTGGGTTTGGAGCCCTATCTATATATACCTATCCACATGGGAGTGTTTAGGTCATGTCCTTGGCCCATATGTCACTACTTGGTGTGAGTAAATGATGGGCATTTTATGGCATTTGAATTGGTTGACTAGCCTACTTATTTGACCATGTTTTCCACGTGGCAAGTCAATAAAGCACTTTTGAATTAATTGTGAAGAGTACCATATAAATGATAAATTCTTTTGATAATTTTATGAAAAATGTTTCGTAACTTAAATTTTGTGGCTTAAAAGTGACTCAAATGGTCAAAACGGCGTCGTTTTGGCCATTTTTATGTTGTTCTGTACTCAAAACGACGTCGTTTTGGCCATTTGAGCCACTTTTGAGCCACAAAATTTAAGTTACGTAGCATTACCGTAATTTTATGTAGTTGTATGTTTAACAAATGCAATGAGTTAAATGAATGAGAAATTTTATGATGCACACTCATCTCTAAAGATGTGTATCATATACATTTTATTACATATTTTTATTGTGTATCTTATATATTTTTTTTGATAAGAATTATGATAGTTTGTACTTTAGAATTGAAATCATGTATTTTTTAGTAATGTTATGTGTTTTGTGATATTGTTATATATTTTGTAGTTAGAAAATGTTTGGACCACAAAAAGTGTAATATATTATCACTAAAATGTGTGACACTACTACAAAATGTATAATTTTATTTGTAAATCACAAATTGTCATAACTCTTATCAGAAAAATATGTAACATTTATCATAAAAATATATAATATTATCACAAAAATACGTAATCTTTTGAAAGGTGTGTACCATTCATGAACCTACTAGATAATTTTGCATATAGACAAAATATAAGAATGGGATTTGCTTTCTTTAATTTTTAAATATTTATATTTATTAGATCATATATTAAGATTATTCTATTTTAAAATTATTAATTATTTAATAATTGTGAAGAATTTAAAGCATGAGAACATAAATTTAGAGACCAATGATCCTTACCTAAAAATACAGAATTTTCTATATTCTTTTCAATGGATGTTTTTAATTGAGTTAATTATTTTTTTTCTCTATTCCCAAGCAAACACATTGAATCCAATTGTGTCATGTAAAGTCACATGTATGTATTAGTTGTTCTTCCATAGGCAAATTTTCTTAGTTTTTTTTGTACTTTCTACTGTAGGAAAATGTTAGGTTTACCTTAAATTCATATTGTCTTGTAGTATATTCATAAAAATTGTCAGCATTGTTATCTCTTAAGGGTACCATGTCATTTTCCACATTTAATTTAATTTAATTATTTTCTTTGGAAGCACATAGCCTCATAATTCTTTGAGATTGTGAAATTTTAGCCTAGAATTGAATGCAAAAGCGAATTATATAGTTTTTTTGTTTTTTTTTTTTAAAAACTAATATTTTGAATTTTAAATTAGCCCGGGATTTTTTTTTTAGTTTTGAGGCATAAGATTCGATCTCGCTATAAAAAAAAAGTGGGGATAAAATTATCTACCTTCCTCCCCTCTCAAATCTTGCTATAAACAAATTCATTGTGCACTGGAATTACCTTTTTCTTTTTTTTTCCTGCCTTCTAAATTTTCTAAGATTTGTTTGGTTAAATTTCTCATTCTAAGATGTTTATTTTGTCCATGTTTGTTTTTTTTTGGTTTGTATTTTTTTCGTTTTCAGTAGAGGCAGCTCAGTAGTGCATCAAATTGAAAAGTTCAAAAACACTCATTGTTTTTAGATTAATGCTTCGGACCCCCACTGGGAGTCGACCCCAGTGAGGTGGCAGGTGCTGATTGGGTAAAAAAAAAAACTGTTTTATTTTATTTTTATTTTTTTTGAGTTTCGGCCAGTGGGGGTGCGACTCCCATTGGGGGTCTGTAGCGGTGCTGTTGTTTTTATATCATTTTTATTTGTTTGCAAAAATAATTTTCAACATATTAGGATACAACTTTAAAAAAATTCAAAAAATTGCAGTGTTTTTAGAAAAAATTTCCCCAAAATAGTTTTTAACTTGTTTTCCAAATAAATTTAATAGTGCTCGTGTATGTTTGGAATTTGGCATTGATATGAGGTAGATAAGATTTGAAGTAGAATTTTCTTTTAATGTTCTTTTTTTTTTTCAAAAGTAGATTTTATTTTTATTTTATTATTTTTTTTTACGGTTTTCAAAGTAGATTAGGGACCTCTATATATAGGTTTTGAATAGAATGGTGCTTGCAATATTTTTAGCCATTGATTATGGAGGAAATGGTTTGTTACCTTTCTTCCAATCTTTGAAAATTTTGGTTTGTAAAGTCTCCTTTTTCATTTCTTTTTTTCAATTGTTATTAAAACGTGCATGAGGGATAATGATAGGTTTGTCCTTTGGAAGGACTTATAAAAGTAAGATGTGGAACTTCTTATAGATTAATTTAAAGAAATAAAAGAAAATTTAAAAAAATCTCAATAATCATTTTCAATGTGAGTAGTGCATTCGATAGTGTTCTTGACAATGGATAGAGAGATAAAGACATGGAGAGGGTATACAAACACTAAGGTAGTGTTTGTTCGGAAAATAAGGTAATCAGATTAAACTATGTGATTAATCTTGAATTTTTTGTTTTGATATGAAAATGGACTTTTGAATTGATAGTCCTCCTAAATTGTATATATTTTATATGGGTGATTATTGTCTCGTAAAAATGACATACAAAGTGGCATGTCCTTAGATGATTATAAGTTCAAATTGAACTATGTAATTAACTAATTTTGAATTCTATATTTTCATATGAAAATGAACTTTTGAATTGACAGTCCTCCTGAACTGTATATATTTTATATGAGTGACTATTGTCTTGTAGAAGTGAGAGTAATATATAAAATAGCATGTCTTTGAACTAATTGTAAGCTCGAATATCTTAAGTTTGTAATGCACCCTTAATTGATATACTCAATTTATAAGTAATTGCATATATTCCGACTTTGCTGTCACCTTGTGGGGAATTGTATTATAGGAGTATAAAAAAAGTAACTAAACTTAAGAGGAAGAAAATATGATAGTGGACAAAAAATGTACGAGTCTTGCATAATTAGATTCTTTGTCTTATTCTTTCACGTCTCTTTGTTTCAAATCCCCTTTCTATCACAAGATCATAGTCAAAGAGATAAATCCTATGATAAAAAAATGTAAATGTATTTGAAACAAAGAAATAAGAGAGAGTAGGATAAAAATTCCTCAATTGATTCATGCTCCTCATTAAGTTACCATTTGAAGGATAGATTAGTGGAGTCAATGTATGCAAAATTAAGAATCAAAAGCAATGAACTAATTGCTTTCCATTTTCATATCTCTATAATTGTAAAATAATGTTCACTTCTTGTGTGGAATACAGCAACAAAAATTATCCTTACATATCCGAAATTGATTCGATTACATAAAATGCTTTCACAACTCTGCAACTCACTCTCAATCTTGTATCACCTTGTTTCCTTCTGTACCTGAAACTAGGAAGGTAATCTGAAACTTGGATTTGGACTTTAAAATTCTCAGAATTTTTGCAAATAAAAAAAATTCACTTGTTTTCAAAACAAGAAATTAATTGATTTCAAAGTGTCTGGTTCTTTTATACTACATGACTTTGGTCATCAAGTTTAAATTCATGGGCCTTGTTTGTAAAAAAATATGTAGATGTATTGAACCCTAAACTAAAATATTTGTCAGGGGAAGGTTTAAAGTCAAGTTTTTTTGGGGGAGGTTTTTTTTTTAGGGTCTCTGATAATAAGATTTTATAAAATAAAAGACATATACTATTTTTATAATAGTTAAAGTCCCTCAATACTTTTACAGAAAAAAATCAATTCAGAGAAATTTTAATTTTCATAGAGAAATTTCAAAATTTTTCTGTAAAATAAGAGTGAAATCAAACAAATTTCTCTATGAAATTAAAATTTCTCTAAGTCAAGCGAAATTTTTCTGTGTCGAATTTTATCTGTGAAAATGTTAAGAGACCTTAGCTAAAAAACACGTCTTGGACCTCTTCAACTACACAAAGTTAGAGATGAATGTTTTACTAATTTTCCCTTTTTCTAATGGACAAAAAGCTAAAATGCCCATAAAATTCCAAATTTTGGTTTTGTTTGGTTAAGTTTTCGGAAATATTTTTCAAAACTACAGAAAATTCAGTTTGATAAAAAAAAGAAAAAATAAATAAACCACCATCACTTATTACTTTCATATGATTTTAAATTTTTTTGAGTTGGGTTTTCTTTTTTAGTGCAACTAATTTCCAATTTTTTTAAAAAAAATCTGAAAATTCAACTACCTTGAAATACCAAACTCTCTTGGTTTTGAGGTGTAATTTATTAAAAATAGTGAAAAAAAATTAGCATTTAATTGTACATTTAAGTTGTTCAAATTTTAAACTAATTTTTTTACCGATCAAATCAAGCTTCAACAATTGCTGATTTGTAAATTTAAAGATGAAATAGACCCAAAAAAAAAAGTGATAGTTTAGGGTAGGGAATAAAAGTGAAATTAACCCAAAACAAAATGGTCCAAGCAATTGTTCAATCCAAACCAAACAATGTCAAGGTATTTTATATATGAGCAACCATGTTTAACAAGGAAAACACATTGCTAGAGGAACCCAGAACAAGTTTCTGCACCCAATGCCATGCAAAGAAATAAAAAAAACACAATACAGCAAAACCTAAGAGTATGAGTTCAAATATCTGTAGCTGAAATTCCGTAAAATTCCCACCAATATTTGTCTTGAAAGGAAGCGGATGATCAGGACATGATACCAACACCTGTAGGCGCAAATCAAAGCAATATATGTCACAACCCAAAAACATTCATCCAATCATCTGATAAATCTAATGCTTGGCACAGGACTTTCAGTTTGTTCATTTCGATGCTTTATAAGCAATGAAATTTGTTGCAAAGAACATGTATCCAAACTGATCATGACATGATTCAGAAAACCATTGCACAATATTCAATTGAAAAATGGTAATTGTTGTCACTACCATATCATACTAACCATTATTTGCTTCCTCTTCTGATTAATCACCTGATTTCCAGACAACATCTTTCAAACCAGTTGCGAGGTTATTGTAGAACTGTATTCAAGTGAGTGCAAAAAATAAGCTCATAATTTACAATTAAAAGGGAAAACAAACACACACATGCAAGAAGACAGTAGCTCAGAACAGTTCAAATTTCAGGATACAAAACGGGTAAATTATTGGGTATCTGTATCTGATTTCTCTAAATGTTGAAAAAACTGCCACCCTTGATAAGCACGTTGGTTTTGCTTATTGTGAGATCAAGGAAATCCTTGTATAGCCCATTCGGTAGGCTGCCTACAAAACTGAATTGCTTGTCTCGTATTGACGACTGTCAATTTTCCTTGTCTTTAGCATTAGTATGGTTGCATAGAACCAGTGGATAAACAATTGCAGAAATATTTCTACTACCAAACGAGTGTTACGATTGCAATGAGAATACTGAACCATACCATATGAAATTCTAAGGTATCCCCTCCAGCTTTCCGAAGCTCAACCATGTAAAGTGAAGGAGCCACCTCAAAAATCTGTCGAAAAAATTCTTTTCAGACAATGCCTGAATGATATTCTAGTGCTTTTTCAGTCAACAGAAGATCCTTTGAAGAAAGTTCCTGAGAGAAACATACCTCAGTTGCAACAGCTAAATGACCCTTGCGCCCAGTTTTCTCCCCTTGAAGTTTCATCTGGGATTGATAACAAAAAAGGATATCATTAGAAGTAGGAAAACAGAAATACCTTGATTGAAAGTGTTTCATAACCTTTTAATGTTGCCGATAAGTTCATTATAGCCAAGTTCATTTTATGTCCAATTGTAAAAAATCTATCAGACCTAGCAACTAGTTGGTGAAACGCAAAAATACAAAATTACAGGCAAAGAAATTAGGATGCAGGAAGACCATATATTCCTTGGATTTATTCAACCTAGTCAAAATACTAAATTTATTGATGGAATCGCTATGTAAAATAATCTGCTTCTAAACTGCTCTAGAAAAAACATAAAAGACAAATAATTGACGAGAGAGAGAGAGAGAGAGAGAGAACCAGAATGCACACTGTACCTTGTAATTGTTTTTCTTTACATCAAAACCCAAAGGCACCGCAGTTTCTTCAATTTTTGAGATAATCACATTAGCAGGACATTTGGATGTAAATCTTGTTTCCCGTTTAACAAGCCCCTGATCATCAGAGCATATGTCAGACATCAGAAGCTTCAAATATATAAACAAATTTGAGGGTCTATCAATAAAAAAGAGACAGATACTTGTCATTTCACTACATAATTATGATGCAGCATGTGGGAGGAAAAAAAATTGAACAAATAAAAGTTCAACATTTTTTGACAGCTACTATCATGACAAATTCACCAGCTCTATTCCCGCACATTGAAGGCATTAACAAAATCTCCAATGGTTCAATAATACTTAACAAAATCACCCCGGTCCATTCATGAGATGACATAGAAGCTCTCACTTTACTGACAAATACATGGACTTATAGCATTCTAAAGATCTTTAACATCTGATAGTTTAGGAACCGAGCACAATCAAAGCTGTAAACATATGATGTACCATTTGCTTTTCAAATAGAGAACCGAGGTTGAGACCCTGAGATTTAGAGATAAGCTCAAAAGCATTCATAGTGACAGGTGTTGCAGGTCGTTCTTCCCGCCTTTCCACGACAAGGTTTTGAGAGTTCTGTACATTAAGAGGAATATCAAAGTCAAAGCCAGTCAAATGCTCCACTACTCATACAAGATCAAATGCTTTTTGACCGAAATAGCAAACAAGAGATAGTTACCCCTGATTCATTAAAAATAGCATCCACATCATCAAGACTAACATCTGTCTGTTCAAAAGTGGGAGGCTTATACCCCTTCTTAAACCAATCATTCTCAATGACCTCGGCAATTGTGATGCGCTGTTCCATACCATAAAATTATATATGCACATCATGAGTTATAAATGTAGGGAATTACAAGTGTCTCAAATATTTTATTTGATAAGTAAAATTCACTAAAATAAATATAAATACTGCAATTTAACCAAAAGAATAAGACAAAAGTGGCCACATACTGTCAGAGGATTAGGATCAAGAATTCTTTTGATTAGTTTCTTCGCACTTGAGGAAAACCATGGAGGACATGTGAAGTCAGCCTTGAATATCTGCAATCATGGAAAGTCATTGTATACTTGCATTTCAACCATAAAAAATAAAAAAATAAAAAAAGAAGAAGAAAGAAAGAAAGAAGCAACTTGAAATTAAAAAAAAAGATCTTATACATGTGTTAATCTTATACCAAACCATGGCAAAGAACCCCTTCTATTACAATGTTGCTTAGATAGGCAAAACACGATTAAAAAAATCTTGGGCCTCAAAATAAGTTATATTACTCTTTTGGTCTTCTCTTTCTTCACCCCTGCTATTTGAATTTAACTGCAAATAACCCTATTTTATGGGTCCAAGGAACACTATTATTTGGAGTTTAGATGGAAGTAAAATGATCATGTATCTTGCCAGACCGAAAAGATCTAGAACAATTCAAGAGAATTGTCCAGGTAGATCACTACACCAAAAATAATTTACAGCAAACCAAGTGAAAAGGTGTTAATCCTGAACATTGTATTTAAAAATAGGTCAATTCCATGAAATTTGTTGCTTTCGTGTAAATATAAAAATAACACCCACACATGATACACAAGTAATTTAGTTCTCTGATTACATTAGCTTTTTTCTACCAGACTATGTCCAATAATGCAGGATGATGTCGGAATCGTAAAAAACATTTCAAAGTGAAGTTCTCAAAAGATTAAGATTAAAGGTGTGAGTGAATGAAACTGCCAGTGATAAATGAGATTTGGTCAAGAAAGTAAGAAAGAGAAAGAAAAAGAAAAATAAAGGAAATGACAAGAAAAACTATTGATAAAATTACAACGAAAAAACCAAGGGAAAAAGAAAACCTTCTTGTATAATGCCATCAGGTTGGGCTCTTCAAAAGGAAGATAGCCAGCCATAAGGACAAAAAGGATTACACCACACGACCACAGATCTGCATTAGCTCCATCATAGCCTTTATTGTTGATCACCTATAAAAGTAAAGAATCACAGTCGGGGGTCAAAAGCCTGTAGTTTTGAAGAGAGTAGATATATAAATTGCAGTAAAAGCTGTAAACGTACCTCAGGAGCAACGTAATTTGGCGTTCCACAGGTTGTATGTAGTAAGCCATCTTCCTGAATAAAAAGCTCAGAAACTCATTTTTTAGGTCTGTTATGCATAAAATAAGGGCAAATTACATATACCCCCTCGAGGTTTGGCTAAATTACAGATACCCCCCTGAGGTTTCGGAAATTACATCCCGCCCCCTGAGGTTTGAATCACAGTCGGGGGTCAAAAGCCTGTAGTTTTGAAGAGAGTAGATATATAAATTGCAGTAAAAGCTGTAAACGTACCTCAGGAGCAACGTAATTTGGCGTTCCACAGGTTGTATGTAGTAAGCCATCTTCCTGAATAAAAAGCTCAGAAACCCATTTTTTAGGTCTGTTATGCATAAAATAAAGTAGATACAAAGCCTACTGGCAAAAAAGCCAATGATTGCTGCACTTAATATTGAAGGGTTAATACTTTTCACATGAGATAGGAAACCATCATACTTACTCGAACTTGCTGAGGTAGAGCACTTAATCCAAAATCTGAGACTTTAAGAGCACCATTCGCATCCAGTAGCAGATTCTCTGGCTGTGAATTATAAAACAGCAACAGCGTTCAAATCAGTAAAGCCAATAGCAAAGATCAAGCATCAAAAACTAAAAAGCCAATTGGTTGTCATCTCTGAGGCCATGTTGAAGAAAACTTGAGATCGATGGAAATTAAAACTGAAAATCAGTGCCCTTATCACCTTCAGGTCTCTATGGCAAACGCCTCTGCTGTGGCAATAATCGACCGCATTTATGAGCTGCTGAAAATACTTCCTCGCTTCATCTTCTTTCAATCTCCCTTTACTAGCCTGGCTCGAAGACATTGCATGAAATTGATTTTGTAACTAATCACAAGGAACAAGATTGTCGATGGAAACAAATGCAAAAACACTGAAGCAATGACTGGCTTACAATTTTGTCGAAGAGTTCGCCACCAGTTACATATTCCAAAACAATGTATATTTTTGTCTTGCTAGCCATAACCTACAACAGAGGACCTTCAGTCACTCTAGACATATACGGGATCATAGAAAAGCAGAAGCCTATTGATTTATAAATGCAAAAACATATGCTAATTTGGGTCTTATTAGAATTGGGAGACATAGGATGAATGTAAGTAAGCAAATTCTAACCTCATACATACGAATGACATTTGGGTGTCGGATTAGTTTCATGGTTGAAATTTCACGCTTAATCTGCAAAAACAAACACAATTACAAAGTTACCATAAAATTACTATGTAAAACACCATCAAATAACAAAATAGAAATTAAATTTAGAAGAAAAATAATTCTTAAATCCGCCAAAAAAGGAAAGTCTTAATATCAAGGGCAACGCATGCACAAAATCAATATAATAAATCACAACACCAAAAGGAGCAAAAAATAAAAGATAAAAATAACTAAACACATAGTCAAAACAGGTAATTTAGATGATCTTTCTCTTTATTGATAATCAAACCAGAAAATTGAGATATGTCGAACTTACATGCTTTACTTTTTTATACTCTTTTACCAGGAAGTGTGCAAAATTTCAAGCCATACCTAATGGTCAACTCTGTTTTAGCTTTCAGAGAAACTATAGATAATTAAGATCCAAAAAACAAAAGAACCTTATTGAACACTTGTACAGTTATTTGTTGAATAGAATTGAGTATGAGATATTCATATATTCTCAAATCTTAATTAACTAGCCCACTATGTATCCAAAAGCTTTACACGTCAAATTTCATTACCTTTCAGTTTCCTCACTTTTCCTTTTCATCCAAACAGAATCATCAAACTAGTCCAATTGTCAATTTTCATCATCTTTGGTTTTCCTAATTTTTTTTTTTCTCACCATCCAAACAGAATCTAATTATCACTGCGACGAAAACCACAAACCAATTGGCATCAAATTGCTCAAAAGTCAATCAACTCGAATATCACAAAAAATTCAAATTTGACAGAGAGAGATATATATACTACCTGAGAGATCAACTCTGTTTTAGCTTTCAGAGAAACTATAGATAATTAAGACCAAAAAAAACAAAAGAACCTTGAGCACGTGAGCATGTTTGTCGATTTTGCGTTCAAGTGACATCTACAATTATTTCTTGGGTAGAATTGAGATATTCATATTCTCAAATCTTAATTAATTAGGCCAGTATATACCCAAAAGCTTCAAATGTCAAATTTCATTTTCTTTCATTTCCCTCACTTTTTCTTTCCACCCAAATAGAATCATATAACTAGGCAAGATGTCAAATTTCATTTTTTTTTTCTTACCATCCAAACAGAATCTAATTATTATCACTACGACGAAAACCACAAACCAATCGACATCAAATTGCTAAAAAGTCAATCAACTCCAATATCACAAAAACAAAAAAATCAAATTTGATATATAAAGATATTAGTACCTGAGCGATCATCTTATGCTTGAGAACTTTCTCTTTATCAAGAATCTTTATAGCAACATTCTCACCAGTCTCTATATTCCTCGCAAACTTTACCTTCGCGAACGATCCTTCACCAAGAGTCCTTCCCAGCTCGTATCTCCCTACTCTCGTCTTCCCACTCCCACCATTGCCACGAGAAGCCATCTCTCTCTCTCTACAAATATATATAATTCTCTCTCTAACCTCAAGGTTAATCTCTATTTCTTTTTACAAATCTGGCACGACTGAGTCCTCAATACATATACAAATACCATCCATTGTTTCTATATCTATCTATATGTATCGATTTCTCTCTCTAGAAATCAATACCTCTTTCTCTTGCAAGGTTGCCATATCTGAGACTTCCCCACATTCATCTTTGATTTTTCAGAACAACAACAAAAACTGCAGAGATTTGAACGGAGAGAAATCGATATTCAATGCGAGAGGTTACGGAGAATGGAAGAAGAAGTGGTGGATGATGAAGAGGAAAAGGAAACAACGCCTGAGAAATCCATCATTGATTAGGGTTTTGGGGTGTGATTTGGAATCGGAAAGTGAAAAGAATTTTGGGATGAATTTGGGATTTGGGTTGTTTGATTTACATAGTCGAGATTGGGATCGATGAAAGAGAAATTTTGCTAATTTCGGCAACGATGAATAGAAAAGGTAATTCTGCTAATTGAAGAAGTCAGCGTCTCTCTCTCTCTCTCTCTAAAAGCTGAATCTTTGTTTTTCTATTTTTTTATTATCTAACATTGAAAATTCTACTTTTCTTGGCTTTTTCAATAAAAATAAAATTTTGATTTTTGTTTGTGTTTGTGTGTTTTGTATTGTTTTTGCTTGGGAGAAATATCAAGTGGTATTTTTAAAAAATAATTATAAATCAATTATGAATTTTGAAAATACTCATAATTTAATTTTTTTATTATGAATTGTAATTATTTTTTAAAAGTTTCACTGATTTGTAATTTTAATTTTTTGTTTTCTATTTTTCAAGATGACAGAAAGTTTATGAATAGTGTTAAAATTACAAGTCAGTAAAATTGAAAATACCATTAAAATGAATTTATTTATAATAATAGTATTGTCATATTATTTTTGTGAAATTTTTTTTGTATGAATAGAATTTTTCAAAAGTTATTTGATCAACTTATTTTGTGAATTTTTTGAAAAACAATCCACTTTGTAACATACAAAAAAATTAATTATTTGCACACAAAAAATAAAAATAATATATGTTTTTGAACTTTAGAAAAAACAAACAAACAAAACAACATAGTATAATTTTCAATATATATTAAGTGAATTAAGTTATTTTTGTCTAATAAATTGGCATCGTTAGAAAGAATTTATGTACTCATGAAATATTTAGAAAATGGTTTTGAATTTAATATTATATATTCAAAAGATTATTTTAAAAAATCTAAAATTTGAATTTGTCAAATAAATTTAAACTTGACATAAGTGCTAATGTCTTAATAGTGTATTTTAAATTCGGAAAACACCATATGTATCTTATAACTAATTCAGAAAATTATATAATTTCACACTTTTTGAGTTATAATTAAAATAAAAAAATGTCATAACCAAACATAACAAGAAACATGACTAAGGTGTCGTTTGGGAAGAGCTTATTTGAGCTCTTTTGGCTCTTTGAGCCACAAAAGACAGAATAGGCTATTTGAGCCACAACAGACAAAATATCACATCTAACCCATAATCATTACACTCTTCTCTCACAAAAAAAGTCAAAAAAGCCAAAAAGGTCAAAAAAACCCTTCCCAAACCAAGATTTTGAGCCCAGGCTCAAATAGCCAAAAAAGCCAAAAAATCAAAAAGCCAACCCACTTCCCAAACGGAGGCTAAAGAACTCATGAGTCATAACTATAAATAATGTCATAATTAAAGAAGAAAATTAGTTTATTTATAATAATAGTATTGTCATATTATTTTTGTGAAATTTTTTTTGTATGAATAGAATTTTTCAAAACTTATTTGATCAACTTATTTTGTGAATTTTTTGAAAAACAATCCACTTTGTAACATACAAAAAAAATTAATTATTTACGCACAAAAAATAAAAATAATATATGTTTTTGAACTTTAGAAAAAACAAACAAACAAAACAACATAGTATAATTTTCAATATATATTAAGTGAATTTTAAGTTATTTTTGTCTAATAAATTGGCATCGTTAGAAAGAATTTATGTACTCATAAAATATTTAGAAAATGGTTTTGAATTTAATATTATATATTCAAAAGATTATTTTAAAAAAATCTAAAATTTGAATTTGTCAAATAAATTTAAACTTGACATAAGTGCTAATGTCTTAATAGTATATTTTAAATTCAGAAAACACCATATGTATCTTATAACTAAATCAGAAAATTATATAATTTCATACTTTTTTAGTTATAACTAAAATAAAAAAAATATCCTAACCAAACACAACAAGAAACATGACTAAATAACTCATGAGTCATAACTAAAATAATGTCATAATTAAAGAAGGAAATTAGTCAAAACTAAAAAATATATATAATTAGAAATACATATGATACATCATTTTAAGATGTGTATATTAAAATTTCCTTTTAAATTCTAAATATTTTGTTTCTGTAATGAAAATAAACTGTTAGTAGGTTTTATTTATTATTGAGTTAACTTCATTTCTCCCTTTGGCCTATTTTAAGAATTAGGTTAAAAGTCAAATTATTTATTTTTTATTTTTTTAAAAAAAATATATAAAAAAATAGAGAGATAATATGACTTAAAAAAATTAAAAAGTCAATAAGCTGACTTTGAGATGTATTATAAAAGTGTATTTATTTATCTTTTTATTTTTTTTAAATCACATAATCTCTTTAACTTTTTAAATATATTTTTGTTAAAAATTAAAAAATACAATTATATAACTCATCTCAAACAACTACCCCAACCTATTTGTCAAAAGAGGCGGAAATTTGACCGTCAAACTTTTTGTACGAAGATGCTTGGGGATATACCCTAGATTTGTAAACATTAATTTATGAAAGTTTATTTTTTTAACATAACGTTTATGAAAGTTATTGCTTGTAGAGGTGTGCATAATATCGCTGAAATCGTCAAAATCGTATCGAATCGCACCGTCAAGGTAAATTCGTTATTATTTTTCAATCGAACCGCCAGTTTTTGGTAAGAAAAATGACAAATTCTAATGACACTTTTATCAATCCGCCGGTTTCTATTTTTCTTCCAAACCGCACCGACCCGCACCGCTATTAAATCATGTTTTAGAAGATTTTAAAAATTCTTTTTAACTTAAGTTTGCTTGTTGTTCTATACCTTAGAATATAGTATTATATTACTGCTCGAGGGAAATTCAAGATGTCAGTAATCCAAAATAAAGTTAGATTCCAATTCACTTTTCAATCTTTTTTTTTTCTGGCCATCTTGCAAACTTGCATCAGCTCATTTTTCAATCTAAATACTTTTCAACACTAAACATTTTCAATATATTGTAAATCCTGAATGATATTAATTTTATGTATTGTATTTGATCATTGTAGTTTCCACAGATGCTTATAATGAACTGATGGCATAGTCGTTGATATTATCATGTTGTTGCTACACTTGTTGCATCAGAAGAAAGCTTCGCAAGATGCTTAACATCACGGTATCTCTCGTTTTTTTTTTACTCTTTGATTTAAGTTTTGTAATTTGAATTATATTTTTTATAAACCGCCAATCCGTTCGAACCGCCAAGGCAAATCCGTCATTATTTGCCAACCAAACCGTTGGTTTTTGATAAGAAAATGACAAATTCTAGTAACACTTTTATCAATCCGCCACCCGCCATACGGTTTCTATTTTTCTCTCAAACCGCACCAACCCGCACCGCGCACACCCCTAATTGCTTGATAGATAAAAATAGAAAGTTAAATTCTAGGGTAATGTTATGGTACTCAGCGTAATTCTACAATATTTTTTGTTTTAGGTGTAATATAGTACTAGTCTATCACCCGTGCTGTACACGGGATAATTATAAATATTTATATTTATTTTAAATTTTTTTTAATATATAAATTATGATTTTTAAGATTTTTTATAAAAATAATTTAACAATCTTATCACTAACTATAGTGTATGAGAGAAGTTGAAAAGGGTACTGCAGTAACTATACACAGATTGTATCTATAGTTATTTGTATGTGGGGATTTTAAATGCTGATCAAGAGATTTTGACCAAATCAATAAATGCAGGCATGTGGATTGAAAAAAGTTAATAAATGCTGATCAGGAAATTTTGACCAAATCAATAAATTCAGATTGAGATATTGAAACTGCCACAGGTCTTGGGGTTAAAAATCCCCTTTTGCTTAAAAACCCCCTTGAGTGTTTATATTTATCTAACTTCAATTATATTAAAAAATCAAGTTATAAACAAAAGGAGATAACTTCAATCATACAAATCACATTTTTTTTAATGCTATCTAACTACAATCACATTTTTCTCATAATAAAAAAATAATTAAAAAATAGAACCATTAAAATAGTAAATAAAAAGATTATTTAGAACTATTGAACAAACTGCAATCACATTTTTCTTTTTGTAAGTGTTTATATTTATCTAACTTCAATCATATTAAAAAAATCAAATTATAAACAAAAGGAGATAATTTCAATCATACAAATCATATTTTTTTTAATGCTATCTAATTACAATAATATTTTTCTCATAATAAAAAATAATAATTGAAAAAAAGAACCATTAAAATAGTAAATAAAAATATTATTTAGAGCCATTGAACAAACTACAATCACATTTTTCTTTTTGTGAGTTAACTTCAATCATATTAAAAAATCAAATTATAAACAAAATGAGATAACTTTTTATTTTATTTTTTTTTACAGGAAAATCCTCTCTACCCTCCCGCAGGTCCAAGGCAGCACCCCTTGCAGAGATCACTAAGGTGTCTTGTTAGCGTTCCGAGCAAGAAGACTATAATCTGAGAACTTGACCCGACCTCCCAAGACAAACTTCGCTTAAGTCAGGACTCGCACAGCGGGGGAGCATTGAACCCACACCAAGTGCTGATTAGACAACTTGAGATCCAACCTCCTAACCAACTGTGCTTCGTCCATGAAATAGCCCAAGAGGGAAGGAATTGAACTCATGACCTTGGGGCTTAAACCCCAAGTCTTAACCACAATGCCACCCACCCTTGGGTTAAAGGAGATAACTCCAATCATACAAATCATAATTTTTTTAATGCTATCTAACTACAATGACATTTTTCTCATAATAAAAATAATAATTGAAAAAAATAACCATTAAAATAGTAAATGAAAAAAATTATTTAGAATTATTGAACAAACTACAATCACATTTTTTTTTGTAAGTGTTTATGTTTATCTAACTTCAATCACATTAAAAAATAAAATTATTAACAAAATGAGATAACTTCAATCATACAAATCACAATTTTTTTAATGCTATCTAATCATCATCAATAATTAAAAAAATCAATCAGAAATTAAGTCAATTGATAATTAAAAAACACAATAATTTATTTTTCAAAAAACATAGTGAGTTAAAAAGATCAATTACAATTTTGTTGGGTCAAAATACAATCTAATAATCATCAATAATTGGTACATTATGTGACCCTAATGAGTACAATCCATTTTGTTTTTCCAAAAACACAGTGAGTTAAAAATCAAATCAC